GAAGCAAATTTTGGTTAGCCCAGATACGGTAGGTGGGGCCCGGCTGAGGAGGGGGACCGAACTCCGCCAAAAATTAGTTCGTCTCCCCGTAAAATCCCTCGCCGCTAACAGGCCCGAGTACCGAATTCTCGATACTGCTGAAAAAGTAAGTGCTGATTTCCCGCCCCCGATGGCTCCTCCCCCGATGATAAGAACAGTGCCGAGATTCAAAAAAATCGGCCTCGGCATAAAAACAATAAAAAGTCAATATTATTGATAAAATTAAATTAATAAAAGGAATTGTCACCCCGATTGCAGGATGCTCGTCCAAGAGAAGTCGGATGTGGTTCTGATGCTCTGCAATTTCATCGAGTCGGAAAAGGAGAAATGCGCGCATTATTTCCCGGAAAGTACGGACACCCCGATGACGTTTGGCCCATTTACGGTGAAGTGCGTCAACAGGGAGCAGGTCATTTGCAAACGGGATTTCTTCTATAAACGGTGGCATTTAGTTGAAATTGGACTGTACGACAACGGCTGTGATTATGGTGACATCATTGGTTGTCGAGGAGAATGGTGTTCAAGTGCATAAGCTCGAACACTATCATTGGCTCGATTGGCCCGATCGTGGTGTGCCAACTGTCGATTTGGCTCCTATCAAGCTCCTCGAAAAGATCTCTCCCACACAGTTCGTTTTTTAAGGATATCGGACGATAAACCCGATTTTTTTTGTATTTTTTAAAAGGGGCAGCCAATTTTTATTTTTCCTGTTGCTCCAGGTTGGCCTAGTACCCGAATATAGTGTTCTTATAGTGTTTTAGCAAGTTTGAACGATTTTTAAAGTAGCAAAACTTCCAAAAAGGTTAGAAAAGCGTTTAAAAATTTGGCCATTTAGCGGCGAAAAAAATGATTTGAACTAAAATTAATTTTTATTTGAATGACTATGACTATGACTAAAACAAGGTTTGTCTGTTTGTTTAGTTTTTGACCACTAAAAAGGCTATAAAAAAATTTTGTTCTTTCTAGGCCATTGTTCATCGGTTCAAAAAGCAAAAAAAATCGCAGTTTTTGTAATTGTTGTAACCTTTTTAGATCTAAAAACGGTGTAAGATGCTATAAAAAATGGTAAATTAGTTAAATTAGTTTATGACCGTAGAGGATTACTGCGGACAAGTTGGCTCCTCCGCTAACAGACCAGATCCACCTCGCCATCATTATAAGCTTCCACAAAACAAACACGTTTCTTTCAGGACACCAATCGTGATCCATTGTTCTGCTGGAATCGGACGTACTGGCGCAATCTGCCTGCTTCAATACACCCTCGAATCGATCGCTACCGGGCAGCCGTGCGAGCAAATCGACGTGCTGATGATTAAGCTGCGCGAGCAACGGGCAAACTCGGTGCAGACTGACGCCCAATACGTCTACGTCCATCAGCTTCTCCTCCATTACTTCGAAATGGTATCGGTTCTGGCACTTGGTTGTTAGCGGGGGGTGGGGGAGGCAGACAGTGCTCACTACAGACAATGTAATCCCATTAAAGTTTTACGGATAAAAAGCATCTCCAAATCCTCAGAATTCTAAAACTGTTCGAAACGTTGACTTTTTGATCAAAAAATCATGAAAAATGACCGAAAAGGGTCGATTAAAAATTTCAAAACAAAACATTTTCCTAAATTTCCTAAAAAGCAAAAGCATTTACAACAGATACATTTTCGCTTTCCAGGAGGGCTATTTGGACGCGTCGATCGAGAAACCGCTGCAGCAGTTCCGCGATAAGTACGAGGATTATGCCTCCAAGTTCAAGACCTGATCTTCTCCATCACTCCCTCCCTACTCCTGTTAAATTTCTCGTCTAGATGTGATGTGTTTGTTTGCAGTGATGGCTTAACGGAATTCATTGCACGGAATAAACGCTTTTTTTAAATTCATATGAAGAATGCTCTGATGGCTGTATTTACCTTTTTGCGAAACGTATTGAATTCGTGAAGCTTTTCGGACAAGAGTTTGTTTAAAAAGCAAAAAGTTTCTGAATCTTTATGCCTTCTGGACTACGGCAACCTTGGGAAAACACAGTTTGGATGGCGTCGAAACCAATTCAGCGACTTGATGGCAAAGGCGTTCTTTGCTTTGTTCAAAAAAAAAAATGCCAAAGTGGAGCAGAAATTGGCTGAATCTCGAAGATCAGAGCAGATCCCCCTACGAAACCATTACTTGAGTTGCCTTCGGCGGGAGTGACTTTTTGTCACGCTGTAGTTTGTGTAGTGCCCATCCCGGTAAACAGCCCTCTTTTCCAGTCCTCACCCCAGCGCGCAAAAAGCACGAAACTATTCAGCTAACCAATACCACAAATGGACATGCGTGGCGTGGAATACGTGAAGGCAAAGATGCCAAAACTCGGATTGGGAACATGGCAGGTAAGGATAAAATTTTGTGTGCTTTACATTACTTTTTAGGTCCGCAATGAGAGCATCCCAGCAGCAGTTGATGCGGCATTGGCCTCGGGATATCGTTTTATCGACACGGCGCAGATTTATGGTATTTCTTAGACATTATCAAATTTACCAGATGGTTACAGTCGCTTCGCGACTGCAACCATCTGGCCTTCGGGCTACCCTACATGTCCCACTCCACCACATCCTTTCCCACCTCCGTCAACACCCCCATAGCCGAAATCCCCTACAAAAACTACCTAAATACCTTCCTGATGGCTTCAGATACCCCCCCATAGCCGAAATCCCTTCAAAAACTACCTAAATACCTTCCTGATGGCTTCAGATACCCCCCATGGCTGAAATCCCCTTCAAAAACTACCTAAATACCTTCCTGATGGCTTCAGATACCCCCATAGCCGAAATCCCCTTCAAAAACTACCTAAATACCTTCCTGATGGCTTCAGATACCCCCATGGCTGAAATCCCTTCAAAAACTACCTAAATACCTTCCTGATGGCTTCAGATACCCCCCCATAGCCGAAATCCCTTCAAAAACTACCTAAATACCTTCCTGATGGCTTCAGATACCCCCATAGCCGAAATCCCCTTCAAAAAACTACCTAAATACCTTCCTGATGGCTTCAGATACCCCCATAGCCGAAATCCCTTCAAAAACTACCTAAATACCTTCCTGATGGCTTCAGATACCCCCCATAGCCGAAATCCCCTTCAAAAACTACCTAAATACCTTCCTGATGGCTTCAGATACCCCCATGGCTGAAATCCCCTTCAAAAACTACCTAAATACCTTCCTGATGGCTTCAGATACCCCCCATAGCCGAAATCCCCTTCAAAAACTACCTAAATACCTTCCTGATGGCTTCAGATACCCCCATGGCTGAAATCCCCTTCAAAAACTACCTAAATACCTTCCTGATGGCTTCAGATACCCCCCATAGCCGAAATCCCCTTCAAAAACTACCTAAATACCTTCCTGATGGCTTCAGATACCCCCCATGGCTGAAATCCCCTTCAAAAACTACCTAAATACCTTCCTGATGGCTTCAGATACCCCCATAGCCGAAATCCCTTCAAAAACTACCTAAATACCTTCCTGATGGCTTCAGATACCCCCCATGGCTGAAATCCCCTTCAAAAACTACCTAAATACCAGACATGGCGAATCGGCCGGCCGATCGGCTTTTTCGGCCGAAAAAATCACGCCACTTCCGGTCGGCCGCGGCCGCGGCCAAATCGGCCGGCCGACATGTCGGCCGGCCGCGCGGCCCGGAAACGGCCGAAAACCCGCAACCAAATTAGATTTTTGGATGCTAATGAAGGGATTTACTTGGCCAAAAATGTTTAGACTGAGGAAATTAGTTAAATAATGGGGTTGCAACCAACTGTATAGGGTTAGACGTGATTACAATGGATCTGACGTGGCTGTTGCTTTGCTTTATCATCACTAATTGCTTCATCGCCGCAAAACGATTCAATTAAAAAAAAGATTCAGGAAACTAAAGGCCCACTCGTCATAAAAACACCCTGACTAAATTTTTGCGTCACTTGAAACTACAAAATTGAATTCTATTTGAAGCTGGCAACCTTCCAAAAAAATCCGGCTGGACATAAAAAGCACGCTTTCCCCACATTAAAATAACGATTTTTAAATAAAATTTGGTAGGCAGGCATCCTAGGGAATAGTGAAAACCGATGCCCAAACCCATTCCTTATTTATTCAAAATTTAGAGGCGCCAGCGACACGTTTCTGTGAAACTTTTTCTCAAGTGTGAATTGTCGGCCGGCCGACGCGGCCGCGGCCGAGCCGACCAAAAAAGTCGGCCGGCCGATCGGCCGACCGGAAGTCAATTGCATAGAGTCGGCGGCCCGGAAACGGCCGATTTTTTATGCTAATGCGGCCGTCGGCCGGTCGGCCGCGGCCGGCCGACCGAAATTGCCATGTCTGCTAAATACCTTCCTGATGGCTTCAGATACCCCCCATAGCCGAAATCCCCTTCAAAAACTACCTAAATACCTTCCTGATGGCTTCAGATACCCCCCATGGCTGAAATCCCCTTCAAAAACTACTTAAATACCTTCCTGATGGCTTCAGATACCCCCCATAGCCGAAATCCCCTTCAAAAACTACCTAAATACCTTCCTGATGGCTTCAGATACCCCCCATAGCCGAAATCCCCTTCAAAAACTACCTAAATACCTTCCTGATGGCTTCAGATACCCCCCATAGCCGAAATCCCCTTCAAAAACTACCTAAATACCTTCCTGATGGCTTCAGATACCCCCCATGGCTGAAATCCCCTTCAAAAACTACTTAAATACCTTCCTGATGGCTTCAGATACCCCCCATAGCCGAAATCCCCTTCAAAAACTACCTAAATACCTTCCTGATGGCTTCAGATACCCCCCATAGCGGAAATCCCCGTCAAAAACTACCTAAATACCTTCCCGATGGCTTTATAGACTTTAAATAATTTAAATAATTAATTAACATAATTAAAAAGTATTAAAAAGTATTAAAGTAACTTAAAAAGCTATTTGGGCGCGGGAAGGGGCCTGGGGAAGAGTGGCAAAGGGGGCGTGGCCTCCCGGGAGAGGGGCCCCCACTCGTTTTATTAAGGCGCCACTTTCAAAGTTAATTTTAATAATTTAAATTAAAACTTTTTCATAATTTTTTTATCAGTTTGGGGGTTTCTGACCATGCTCTATCCGAATCCGAAGAGAGCTAAGCTCTAGCTCCTTCCCCCTTCGAGTTGAATCCGGGACATGACGGACAGACGGACAGACAGACGGACACCACAGCAAAATTATTATAGTAGATTGACTTTTAGGTAACGAGGCAGCGGTTGGAAAGGCACTGAAGGAGGCGCTACCAAAGTACAATCTCCAGCGGTATGAGCGTTTTCCGTTTTGTTTATGATATTTTATTATAGTGCCGATATTTTCATCACCTCGAAGTTGGCCCCGGCAAATCAGGGGCCCGGCGCCGAGAAAGCGATTGAACAGTAGGCTTTTTGGAAGTGAAGATATGCTATATTTCATTACAAAACCACATAACTATAGCGAAAGTTTCTCATTGATCCGTTACATCGTTGAATGGTTTTGTTAGTAATACAATAAATGTTGCGCTGAGAAACCAACGTTCTCGCATAATCTATACTTTAGGAGTCTAAAGAACCTCCAAACGGACTACTTGGATCTGCTGATTATCCACTGGCCAGGCTCATCCAATCCCTCAGAATCACCAAAGAACAAGGAACTGCGAAAGCAAAGCTGGGAGACGATGGAAAAGTTTTACGGTATTCCGGGACCCGGTTTTTTATATTATTTTATAGACGAGGGCAAGCTCAAGGCGATCGGCGTCTCAAATTACACGGAACGACATTTGCAAGAGTTGCTTGGACATGCAAAGGTTCGTTATTTTAGCTGTATTGTTTGAGACAAAAATTTCCAGGTTCACCCGGCCGTCAACCAGTGTGAGTATCACGTACACTATCAAACAAACAGCCTTGTGGATTATTGCAAGAAGAACCAGATCCACTTCCAGGTATTTTCGTTTTGTAATCTCCAACTGATTTTTTAGGCTTACAGCAGTTTGGGCTCGCCAGAAGGCCGGAAGAAGCTGGCCGCTGACCCACAAGTCATCGCAATGGCCGAGAAGTATAAGATCTCCGTTCACGTGCTCCTCCTCGCGTGGGCTATCAATCAGAATATGAGGTTTGTAGTGTTTTATGCGCCTCAATGGATATTTAGCGTATTGCCACGTAGTACACAGAAGGCCCATATCGAAGAGAACCTCAAGGCTGCCAGCGTGGTAACAATAGATTTCCGGCATTTATTTTAATTTCAGAAACTCGACCCGGCTGATGTCAAATCTTTGTTGTCGGATACGGCAGACCAAAAATATTGCTGGGACCCGAATGTTGTTGCTTGAAATTTGGTACACTTTGCGAATAAATTTTCTTATACTCTTTTCTTATACAACGCAAACTAGCACTGTAGCTTCAATACCGTAGTCATGAAGGTCGGTCTCTTTTCGATACGCCGCACTACAACTAACGCCAGGGAGATGGGGTCGCGTGGGAATGGCACACAACATAAGCCCATTGAGCTGAAGCAGCTGGTGAACTTTGTCTAAACCTATATTCAACCTCAAATGTGAGAAATGAAAGGGCTACGACTCGTTTTCCTGACTTTATTCCTAGTCCAAACCCTGGCCGACAAAGCGTTTTACCGGAAAATCCAATTGTAAGCCCTGAAACAGCTGGAAAAGCTTAAAAATCTTTAGGTCAAAATGCAACCGCGGACTCGATTGTGGCCGTTACGGCGATTGTATGGATTGCACATTCCCGAAGAATTGTATATTTGGCACTAATGTTAGGGTTGGTTAAATACACCAAAATCCAGCATTTTTCAATAGATCAACTGCACAACCGTTCCACAATGTTTGCGGTATTCAATGTCGAGAGTCGCGAGATGCCGGTAATTTTGCTAAATATTTGCGTATCATTGTAGTGACAACGCATTTATTATCATTGTTTTTTTCAGGTTTTGCTGGCAACTCGAGCCGAGCGAGTACAGCTGCACACACACTTCGAACTGCTCGACGACCAGCGCCGAGTTGGTGCCGGTGTTGTGCTCGGTGGGTTGGAAAAAGCGTTTAATAACAAGAGATACTCCAGGCTCATCAAGATGTTCTGTGCATGGGCAATCGTCACTTTTACAAGAAGACCAGGTATGTTTTTGATAAGAGTGAGCTGCCAAAACTTTATAAAAATAAAGTTAGATTCTTATGAAAAAAACGAAAATATATCTTTCTCGCTTTTCATAAATATATCTTTAGAAATAAATATAATAAAACGACGTCATTTAGATGCAACTGGACTTCCGGTCACAGCTGGGCGAAGGCGCTGTTCTTATCGATTACGCTGGGCGGATTTGGAGTAAGCCCTGACACATTTATACGGTGTTTAATAGTTCAGACGTTTACGTATAGTTTAATAGAACACGGATAGTTTAAAAGATGCTACAATTTAATTATTATAAAGATTCACTTATCTATTACATACTTTTTTAGATTTAACAAATTTTTCCGATTCAGGTAGACCGTTTCTATCTGGGCCTCTGGAAATCGGGCATCGGCAAGCTGTTCTCGTTTGGCGGGCTCGGCATTTGGACGATAATTGACATCATCTTGATCGCCGTCGGATATATACGGCCGTCTGACGGATCGCATTATGTGTAAAAATATTATTCCTCATCAAAGCCATTGTGATCAAACGGGTACTCGGCACTGGTCTGAATAAAGCTTTTTTGATTGTCTCGATAGGAAAATTAAAAACATCAAAGGATAAATGAGTTCGCGGCGCTCCTACGCACAAAAAAACTGTCCACGGGTGGTGTAATTTTTTTCGAAGCGTTTTTGTGTTGTTTTTGTTATAAACTCGAAAGTTTCATAGAAAAATCGAAAAACGAAATCTATCCTAGTTGGCAAAAAGTGAAAAGCCAAAACAGATGGAATCTCGAAAACTGGTCTCTGCAACCATCAGATTATTACCAGTCTGCAGTCGGCTCGGTTATCGGAGATCTAAAAAGAGTTTTCAGGGGGGAGACCTGTTTTTCCGGTAGTTATATAAGGCAATCCGTAGGTCTGAAAAGCCAAGCTCATTCCCAAGTCATGGCCGGCTCTACAGGTTTGTTTATTATGATTGCCGTAATTAAACTGTTTTTCTTACCCCGAAAACTCGTTTTTTTTATAGCTTAGCGCCCTTTAAACGTTCCGCCTAAGGCCAAACATTAAATTCAGCTCCACCTACCGTACCCCGCAATTTCCAGGCCTAATCGCCGTCGGGACGAGCGTGTGTGCTGTGGCGACACTTGCATGCCTGTTGGCTGTTTGTCTAATCGTCCAGGACATCTCCTCATTCCATGCCCGGATTCACAACGAACTCGACTCGTTCAAGGTAACACTAAACTACGGATTACAATTATGATCTGGATTTAGGCTCACTCGGACGAGGCATGGAACGAGATGCAATCCGTGACGCGTGCCTCGGCGTTTGCCCAAACGATGGCCAGATTCACGCGTCAGGCGTATGATGCTGGTGGTGCCTCCGGTGGTGCTGGAGGATCTGACCGCAGTTAATTTTTAAAGGCGCGTTGAAGCCTAGGCTACGGACTCTTTCGGGTTATTTTGCAGCGTTTTTTTCTAGGCGCATCGACATTCGATGCGCCTAGAAGAACAGAAAACCAACTTCATTCAGGAATTTTCCAAAAATTTCAAAAAGTCCTAGTTTAATGTCTTTTTCTAAGTCATTTTTTTGGCATTCTTGAACGTAAGAACTTTACATGGAAAAGGCTTTACTTGAAAATCTACTAAAAATCTCGATTTTCCGACCCAAATTGGCCCTTTTCCGTCTTCGATTTTAAATTTTACAATTCTCACCAAGTTTTTGAACTACTTCTTCAGAATACCCCCACCCCCGCTAGTGCACAAGAACCTTTCAGACTGTGGCGAGGCCCCGTCGGGATGCCCAGCCGGTCCACCTGGACCACCCGGGGAGCCGGGTCTGGATGGAATGCCCGGAATGCCCGGTGGAGACGGAAAACCCGGAATGTCCGAAAATTCGATGATCAACGATGTGTATCCACAACTGAAGGATTGTATCAAATGTCCGGCTGGGGAACCCGGGCCTCCTGGTCCTTCAGGACCACCTGGGCCCGCCGGAAACCCCGGAGCCGATGGAGCGCCTGGACCTGCCGGAAATGCCGGAAGCCCCGGGCAAGCGGTGAGTCGTTTTTAGCGCTTTAATCAAGTACATTTTGCCGAAAATAAGAATGTCGAAACGTTGTAATTAACGATCCTTTCGACATGGTAAAATTTCGTCATTCTACCTGTCGACAAATTGACATTACGTCAGCAAAAAAGCATAAAAAACAAAAAAAATATTCAGTGTCCGGCCGGGGAAGATGGACATCCGGGAATGCCCGGAATGCCTGGACCCGATGGAATGCCCGGAAAGCCGGGAATGAAGGTAACTTTTTCCCAAGGAATCTCCGCTAGCCTGCCTATTTTATTGTTTTAGTTTTAAGTAAATTTTTAAAAAAAGGCATTTTAGTGTGAAAAATTTTCAAAATACACGGTCCAGAGCGAATTCCATTACGTTACGCTACTCCGTACACATTTATTCTCATCTCCCTTTGAATTTTCCGCGATTTAAATGCTTTTAAATTCGATTTACAGTTCCAGCCCGGTGAACCTGGCCCAGCCGGGCCACAAGGGCCAATGGGCGAGATGGGAGCCCCGGGTATGGATGGCCACGATCCGGGCCCTGGGCCCCAAGGACCCGCTGGGTCTATGGGTGGCCCGGGACGGGACGGAACCCCGGGAACAGCTGGGCCACCTGGAGAACCCGGTGGAGATGGACAGCCTGGACCCGATGCCGCATATTGCCCATGCCCCCCAAGGTAGCTTTCGAAAAAACAAATTTTGAACGGATGAGTACACTTTCGTACCATTTACGTGATTTTCAGAACGGGTGGGATGGCGGAAAGTGGTCCGGCCCCTTCCGGAGCGAATGGCGGGGGCGGAGAGACCGGAAATGCCGGATACGCGCAAAACCCCGCGAAGGGCGGCGCCCAATCCTATTTGCGGCTATAGATATATTTCAATCGTTAAATATATCATTTATATTATAGCTGTGTAACGCAGAAATAGCAAGTATTTATTGTGGATACAACATGCAGAGGAAGGTTGTTTAGAATGGCCAGCAGTCCCCGGGGCAACCCTGGATGATCGTCTCGAAACGACCGGTTTTCACCTGAAAATTGTGTTTTAGCAGCGTTTTCGTCGTCTAATGATTACCATAAGTGTTTCTACACTGTTTTTTTACGTTAACATGCAAGTTTCAGTTAAAAGATACAAAAATATCAATTTTTGACAAAAATCCCTGCTTTTTAAAGGCCGACCCCCTGAAATGCCGTTAAATTATGCTAAATCCATTATTAAAATATTTGCTATTACGCTACTAGCATTTCTGGGCATATACAAACCCCCCGCACCCCCGATAATGCCAAAGAACCTTGTTTGGTTATCTTTATTGTATTTGCTGGTAAACTTACGTGCATGAGGACGGTGTAGGTGGTGAGCTTGTTGAGGTTGGTCTTCGACGAGAGCACGTTGTACATACCCTAGAATTTAATTAATGTTATTTACTATGTTTTTATCTTTTAAAACTCTTTATTCCATTATTAATTTTCTAATGCTAGTTATTCGCTATGTCCCATTTTATTCATCTACCTGGAATCCCATGTCCTTTTGGCCGAGCTTGCGCATGCAGCGATCTCCGGGTGTCTGACGGTCATCGAGGTACAGCGGCTAAAAAGTGATAGATTACGCCATGTTATTCAAAATTCATTACATCAACGTCGGGATCGTAGTTGGTCTGGAGGAGATACCAGCCATTTGGCGAGTGCGGGTCCAGCTCCGTCAGCAGATCCGTGCCGTTCAGGGCACTAAACGAATTCTTGTAAATAGGGATATACCAAAATACCGACAGCCAAAATCCTGAAGGAGCAAATTCCGACAGGCCATAACCCCGAAAGTCCAAAATCCCGACATCCAGACCCCAAATCTCCATAACTCAAAATACCGACAGCTGAAATCCGGCAGCTCCAAATTCCGACACCCAAAATGCCGACAACCAAAATGCCGAAAGTCATAATACCGACAGGTCAAAATAGCCGCTTAAATTTTTGTTCCAGCCTGCTAAAAATCACCCCCCCCCCCCCCGCTAAGAGTCCAGTCTCATTAGAAATCGAAAACTCGGAAAATTACCGGGTAATAATAGCTCCCTCCCACGGGTTGACACCACCCAAGATGTAGTAGACGGGCGACAACATCGGCACGTTCATCAGTCGGTCTTTCGCCTCGGCGTAGGCTACATAAAAATATAGAAAATCTATTAAAACTGCGAACTGTTAGCATTCTCCATGGTCTCGCGGGCGAGGGTGGTCATCCACTTTCCGTTCGGCTCCTCGTCTAGCAGCCACTTGATAATGCCGACAAGGCCTAGAAACGGTAGAATATAATGATTATCAAGTTAATCTAGGCCGAAATTACAAAAAAATTACCTCCATCAGCCATAAAGCGCTCGTTGGCGGTGAGCGAGAATTTGCCCGGCTTCAGCGCGTTGTAGATGCCAATGTAGCCGGCAAAGTGGTTGGATTTGTAGAGGACTTTGCCTGAACAATGGTTTATAACATGTTCTGCAATATTAATAAGGATGATAATCACGTTAAAAGGATAATTCGTACTAATACATCTAACGTAACGCACCGTCCTTGATCCAATTGACGTTGAGGATCATTTTGCGCAAATGCTGCGAGATTTCCCACTCGTGTTTCGTGTAGTTCCAGCCGAGGAAAAGGCCAAAGTCGAGGTTCCTGGAACATTAATATTGATCGGTACTGGTCTGCTAGCGAGGGGGGGGGGCTAAACTTTATTGTTTCGCCTACTCCCTATGCTGTTAATCATAGATAAAGCATTTTATTGTCTTCTCAATAGTTTTTAGCGATTTAAAATCCTAAAATTTCTTAAAAATTTTTATAATTTGAAAATTTTGATCGTTTTTGTGTCATTTTTCATAGATGTTTGACCAAAAAGTCGAAAATGTTCGTAAGTTTTGAAAAGTGTTACGTTTACGTGCTTTTGATCTTGAAAGATGTAACGAAAGACGCGCAAAAACTCCCAAAAATCCCCAAAACCGACCTCGAGTGGTACATATCGTTCGACGCATCCTGGCCGACGATTGACGTGCAAACGGTGAAAATCTCGTAGAAGATGTTGTACAGCACCACTTGACCGATTGGAATGTCGGCCGTTTGAGAGATTGACTAAAAAGGGTATATAGAAAAGAATTTACAACGCTTAGAAGAAAACGAAAAAAGACTAGCTGACAATGAGCTCTTCACGATATGGCGACTGGAACTTCTCGATCGTCTCGGCAAAGACACCATCCACAAAGTCGAGTGCACCCGGGAAAATCGGTGTGATGAAGTCTGGAAGGTAGTGAAGGCTTTGAAAAATAGCACCTACCGACGAGTACTTGGATGAGCCCGTGGATGTCCTGCTTGTAGCGCTTGGCAATTTGCACCCAGCGCTGCGACGGGTCGGCGTCGAGGTCGATGTTGAACCTGGAATGTGTTTCATTTCGTATTTTAAAGAGAGCTCTTGCTCAGAAT